TATAACTAAGGCTCAGGGAACATAGTGGAACAGGGATAGAAAGAATATTAATGCATCTCTCAACTCTCACCAGTGAATCATGCAACAGAGGGTGATTAACACAGAAAGTCACAATTGGCCAAAATGTAGAGAATAAGATTACAAAGTACGTGTCCCTGGATATATCGCCTATATTAAACCTCAGCCACTTAGGGATCAGGGACCCATTGCAGAAGAGGGACAGTAATACTGTAAGAGTAAGGGGTGGTAGATGACCACAAAGAAACAAGAGGTTTTCAGGCAGCTGGGAACTTGTTCATATGAACTTACAGTGATTGTGACAGCATGCACAAGACCCATGCAAATTCAAACCAAATAAAACTCAGCAAAGAACTGGGTAAATGAGTAAGAGGCCCCAACCTTAGCTGAGGAACTCTGGTAGCTGCCAGGCTCCAGTGGATGAACTCATACCGAGGGACATCTGGGGACACAAACCTGAGTCAACAGCCTTAACATATATAACAGAATGCATGAAATAAGGTGTGGGGGGCTATAGAGAGGTGCAGAGAGGGGAGTAAATATGATTAAGATGTATATCTGGAATGCACAAGTATTCAATAAAAACATATTGTAAAAACAAATGAATGAATGAATGAATGAATGAATGAATGAATGACTAAGAAAAGATAAGAAAGAAGAAAGAAAAAACTGGTCCAAACAAATGTTCATGGTAGTTTTGCTCAAAACAGGCAAAAACATTTTTTAAAATAATATTTCAAAAGCCAATGTCTATAAATAAGTGGATGGGGAATAAAAATATCAATGCATAAATACTATGGATGAATTTCAACAATGAAATGGTTAATTTTTAAATATTTTTATTTTATGTGTATGAGTGTATTGCCCGCGTGTGTGTAATTACATCGGTGTTTGTGCAATGCCCGTGGAGGTCAAAAGAAGGTGTTGGATTCCCCTGGAACTGGAGTTACAGACGGTTATTAGCTACCACACAGGTGCTAGGAATCAAACCCACGTCCTCCGCAAGAGCAACCAGTGCTCTTAAAAGCTGGGTCATCTCTCCAGCCCTATAATGATTTTTTTTTTTAAAGATAGACCCAAAAAACTATTTTTGTCCTATTGTGCTGTAATCTCCTCTGCTGCACTTTTTATATAATATATGATTTACCACTTTGCGTGGAGCAAGTCAACCTGTCACATTTTTCCAATAGCTTAGACAACTGTTAGTAATAAATTATTTTTTTAATTTTGTTATTTTTATTTTATGTGTATGTGTGTATTGCCTACATGTAGGTAACTGCGCCCGTGTCATGCAATGCCTGCGGAGGTCAGAAGAGGCCATTGGATTCCCTGGAACTGGAGTTACAGACAGTTGTTAGCTGTCAGGTGGGTGCTGGGATTCGAACCCAGGTCTTCTGCAAGAACAACCAGTGTTCTTAACCACTGAGCCACCTCTCCAGCCCCATAAATTATTGTTATATATTATTTTTATTACTTCTTTGAGAATTTCATACGATGTAATTTATATAATCCTATTGACAATTAATAGACTGAATACACATATACACAATTCACGTAACACTTCCTTGAAATATCTGCATTACTGAAGTAGTCTGGAATCAAACCCATGCTTTCTCTAAGGTATGACTGGATACAATGTATGATTCTATTTATATGAAATATTAGAAAGCAAAAAGCAATTCATAGAAATAGAGATCGGTATTTGATGGAGTTGGGGAGCAGGGGAGGGCATGATACTACTTAGAGTAACAAAGTAACTTTGGGAGTACAGAAATATTCTATATCTGGTGTATACCACAGGGGGGATATATTCTACCAAAGAAACACTTGCACACCTACATTTATTTCTACACTATTTACAGTAGCTAAGAAATAGAACTAGTCTAGATGTCCATGAACAAATGAATGGATAAAGAAAACAGCACATACACACAACCATAAAGAAAAATGAAATGATGACATCTACAGAAAAATGAATGCAACTGAAGTGTATGTTTCTATTAAGCAAAACAAACCAGATTCAGAAAAACCAAATACCACATTTTCTCTTACATAAAGAACCTGGACTTAAATTTGTATGCATCTGTACATATATATGGGGGTGTATCATGAAACTAGAAAGAGTCTTAAGGGAGGGTAGAGAAGGGCAAGAAGACGGGGGGTGGAGAATACATGCGGCATGAAAGCATAAAGGGATATTCTAAGGGGGAGAAAGAATGGAACCAACTAAAGCTGAGGATAAGGATGGATGGGGGATGGCAGTGAGGGAGGGGGACAAATAAGAACAAAGTATTTATGAAAATGTCATAATGAAAGCCATTAGTTTATATCCTATCTAAAAAATATGAAAAGAATCAGCAAATTGACTATAATAGTATTACATAAATATAAACTTTAACTGAAAAAACTGAATTGAATATTATAAAATTGCATATTTTCTATATTCTATATTTGTTATATATATATATCAACTCAAATGATTTTTCAAAAGGATACCTCTCTCAAAGCATTGTATTTGGAACAAAGGTCATATTAAGGCTATGGTGGTTATGTCTATGAACATCTTTAGCTTATGTGAAAACTAAGAGAGCAAAGTGAACAGTGAATGTATCTGGTAATACAATCATACATAAGAAATGTTTGCATGCTTTGGTGACAAGAGGATAAAACAGTAGCACACATAACTGTCCTTGCACATCTAAAAGCTATTGTGTGAGAAGTGAAATATGTTTCTACAGGGTAGAAGTTATAAATGCATATATTGTTTTGTCTAAATATGCAAAAGATAAAAATTATTCTAACCACAGTTCAGACTAAACATTGAATCACGTCTTGAATATTTACTGTTTCCCAGGCACAAAGTAATGTGAGCTTCCTAATAAAAACATTGCATTCTCACTAATCAATTTGTCTTGCCAAGCTTACTAGGAAGGGTGTTAGGATGATGCATTAAATGCCCTCTAAAATCCTTTTATATTATATTACGTTCATGTGATAAAACTTAAACTAAAATTCATAATCTCAGGCTACTGAACTTTATAGTTTCATGTTTTACATATGTCAGCATTTCATAAATATTGTTGATTAAATTGTGCTTAATTTTAAAATATATTACCACCATAACTAACTTATTCAAGGCAGAATTCTTGTTTGGTATAAACCAGCTGATCATAAAATTATACCTTATTGAAAATAAAATATAATCCAGAATGATTTCTTTTCTTTGTTTTATTTTTCACTTTGTAATTTTGAAATGAGTTCTCACACAGCCACCTGGCAAATGATTTACTTTCTGATGAAATTTCAAGTATTACCTAACAAACCAAAAAGCAAACAGTTGATAAAGAAAAAAACACAGGTTTATTGTTTACAATAAAGGTTCGCATAGACAATAGTGTTTTCCGTATTGTGGGGGATTGGATAGGAACAGGTGGCAGGAGTGAGAGAAAATAAAGACTTCAGGAAAATATGAAAGCACGTAAAGCTATGGATGCATGCAAAGAATGATGGTGTGTGTAATGTATGCTAATTTCCTGCCCTTATCTTTACTTTTTACTTTTCTCAGAAGACAATGACTTTCATTTGAGGTTCAAAAGTTCCAAAGAAATTAACTTCACCTTTGTTTCCTAGGATGGGAAACACAATCCAAATACAACAGATCTGAGGTTGAAATATGATCTGTACAGATTGAACCATAATAAATAGCAGGCCATTTGTTGAATATCATAGATAAATATTCTTTATCCAAGCACAAGCAAATATGAAAATAATTAGCCTTATGAGTTTTTAAGCCATATATCAGGACCATTAGAATGAGGCCAACAGCAGAAAGTCAAAACAAAGTCTCTAAATTGCTGGATCATTCCCAAAGACACACTGTTTGGACTTTTAAAAGTGTTCATGTGACACATGAGCTAAAAACGTTTTGTTACTGGCTTAAATTCATGTGTTATTTTTGCTTGTTTTAAGTTGTTTCTTCAATATCATTCTCCCAGACAGTGCAAAGTCCTTTTCCAACTCTGAAGCTTCTCATGAATTCACATTGGGACGAACTCAATACACATTTTCAAGACCAGATATACAACAGATGGATTCTAGCTGCTTAAACTTAATACCTTTAAGTAGGTCATGGTGGCATCCTACAATCCCAACACTGTTACCTGGGGTAACATACAATTTCACTGAGTTGAAAGCCAGCTTGATTTACATTATAAATACTATACCAACTGAGGTTCAAAACACCAAAGAAAATTTTAAATTATTATTTTTTAATTACTTGCAACAAAAACTTCACACAAAGGAAAATTTACAAAAATGCTGAAGATGCCATTAAGATTTTTAAAAATTCATGTAGGACTTTATAACATTTCTGTGTGTGTGTGTGTGTGTGTGTGTGTGTGTGTGTGTGTGTAGTGCTAAGAATCAAACTGAGAGCTTTCTGCATGCTAGACATGTTCTCTATCAATGATTTATGTATCCAAAACCATAGATAGTATTTAGGAGGATTTATTTTTCAAACTTGTAAATGTTTTTAGATTCATCATCCACCTCATCAATCTCAGTCCCAGATTTAATGAATGAGTCTGAGTTACAATTCTTGGACTTGGTATGGTAAAAACAGGAAAATCTAACAAAATCAACTAGGGCCACCCATCAACTTTGGGATTTGTGCTGTTTGGTTTCAAACATATGAGGCAAATGTAGACACCATGAAGAGAGCCTCAGGTCTACTCAGCTTCCCTTTATTCTTGGATCTTATTCCAGGTCCCAAATAAATCAAAGCCCCTAGGATACAAATACAGAACTTCTAATAACCAGACTACAAAGTTATCAGATGGATAAACAGATCAAAGAAAGCTGCTATTAAATGAAAGGAACCCTGGAATTAATGTGATTTTTCATTTTAAATATTTCAGTTAAGAACTACAGAGAAAAATTACAATTAAATATTGGTAAGAAAAGACTTAATTGGTCTCACTTACCACTTTGGGATTTTGTGAACCATTGCAGATTCCAGTCTACATTCCTCTGATAAAAATCTCTGAATAAAAAAGAAACAGGAGGCTGTCTTTGATGAACTTCAGGTGCAAAATCACTTCAATTTCATTTCATTCAAATACCATATGAATGAGGAAAAAATTAAATACACATAAGTGTCCCTGGAAACTTTTTAGCATGACAATCTTAAATATGGGGAAAAGTGATAAACATCAACAATTCAGACATTCTAATACATAACTGAATGTCTTATTAATTGAGATAGAAATTATATATTCAGGCTTCATAATACAGATGTAAAAGCAGAAGCAATTTTCATGCTCTGCAATTATGTGAATTTCTTGTCTGTAATTGGTATATCTTCAAATGTATATATACATTTAATTATATATAATATATTATATACACTGTATTTACCATGAGCATTTCTCACAAAATATATATTAGGCCCAATTTAATTTAACATAAAAATTAGAGATACTAACTACATTTTAGGGTTTATTTTATGAACTAACAGCCATAGTCACACATAGTGTTCATATCTGTTATCCCAGTGGCTGGGAGGCAGAGGCAAGAGGATCATTGTAAGTTCAAACTCAGCCTGGACTACATAGCAAGACCTTGTCTCAATAATAATAATGATGATAATAATTCATTATTATAAAACATTAATATGCTTTCTTAAGAAAAATTATGCTTTTAAATGATACTCTATTGCTTATATAAAAAGCAAATAAAATAGAAACATAAAAAGATAATCAAGAGCCATAAGATCATGGGCAAATTTTGTTTTGAAAAATAAAATGATTCTTAAATGGACCTGCACATGCAGAAAGAATTAATCACTGAGTATTTTAAAATTCCAAAGTTAGTTAGACAGCACTGATAACTCCTTTCTGAATGATGGCAGGATAATTTAAAGTCTCTTAATATTGTTTTCATTATTACCATGCTGGCTATAGCTATTTCAGCAATTTGATCATGTACATTGTACTCTACATACAGACTTTATAGTCTATTTACTCTGTTTGGGACTTGCTGAGCTTGACATTTTCTTACTTTAAAATGGTACATTTTCAACCTAATGTTAAGAACTTTATATTCTCCATTCTCTTGGTCCTCTCCTGCTGTAACTCCAGTTACACATATACAGAAACATCAGATGTCAGATGTGGCTGTTCAGGTTCCTGAATCATTATTTAATCTTATGCAACCTTTTATCCATAGATTATTCAGATTGAATACATTTTATTGATATGCATAAAATTAACTTTTTCTTAACATCTTACTACAGGGGTGAGTCCAATAAATTCTAGTTATTACACTTTCCGGTTAAAGAATTTTTACATTAATCATTTCTATTTTTCAGCCTTGATTGTATGCCTGTTCATTTATTAATATCATAATTTATCTATTGTGTGTCTTTTTTCTTTAAGTCCTTGTATAAGCGTTTATACATAAACCTTTGTCCACTAAAATCAGCACCTAGGCCATCTCAAGGTCCGCTTTTATTTTTCTCTCGACAAGAAGTCACATTTTCCTTGGTTCTTTGACATCTAGAATTGTTTACTATTATGTATTGAGCACAGTGATAATCAAATGTAGATAACTTTGATTCTGTATTATGTTCCCTTGGAGAATAACAATCTTTGGTTTCAAATAGTAAAATTGCTGGATGAGCAATTAGAATTGGTTTATGTATGCTGGGATAAATGTGAGAAAGGTCCAATATATGGAACACCTCTAGTTTGGCAGTATTTCTTTGTCTATCTCTTCCTGCAGATTTTGTGCAATGCAGTTTTAGTCCTCTTGGGGTAGGCAGTGAGTAAGATTTGCTCCAAGATGCTGCTATGGTTTGAATGGGTCTCCTCCAAATTTCAGTAGTTGAAATGTAAAAGGCAATATGATGGGATTAAGAGACGACTAAATAACAAGGACTTGTAATTCTGATTATTACTTCAGAGGAACAGTTTCACAAACAATGTAGCTCTCTTGTCCTTGCATCCTCTGCCATGTAAAAATACAGAATTCTTTTCCTCCATAAGCGACACATTTAAGGCATTATCTTGGAAGTAAGAGTAGCCTTAACCAGACAACTGAATCTGATTGTGTCTTAATCACAGACTTCTCATGCTTAAGCGAAATGTAATCAGTTTAGTCAGAAGGCCTAGATCCTCCTTCCAGATCCACTGCTGGTATGTTCTCCCTGGCAAAAGATTTTTGCCTAAGTTGAGTTTCCTCAGGTTGTACATGCAAATGTATAAGCCCAGACAATGTTCAAAAGATAGTTCCAATAAATGACAATTTTGCCTCAGAAGAACTTGGCAATTTATTTTAAATTAAAAAAAAAGAGCCCAACGTGGCAGCAGACACCTGCAGTCCTAGTTATTTGGGAGGACATGACAAGATGATTTGGGAGCACATGAGTTTCATCCCACCAGCCTAGGAAACATGGTGAGATTACTCATGAAAAAAATAAATGAAATAATTATATATTATTCCCATTCTTGTATTTCATTGCAATATCACAACATTATTAAATCTCATAGACCTGATCTCCATTTTTCATTACTGTATCATTCACAAATTTTGACTCATTCTTTTGAACTTTTAATGTTTTTTGTTAATCTTCAAACTAGTTCACTTGGATTGCAGGTTACAAATTAAAGACGTGTTAAAGCACTGATTTTCTGAACAGTTCAAACACTGGGCAGTACATAAAGCTGCTCATAATCAACAAGTAAAGTCAATCTCTGCCACACATGCCAAGCAGTTTGTTTAAACTCTAAAAAGGGAGCAACACACTTATTATGTAAAGGCTCAAACAGTAAATACCTTAGGCTTTGTGTGCCAAAGAGTCTCTGTGCCAAACATTTCAAGTCTGCCATCATACTATGAAAGCAGCCATAATTTGTAAACAAATGAGTATGAGTAACACATGTGGGAGAAAATGCACACACTTACTATAATTTGAACATTATACAACTCATATATGTATATTGAAATATTACATCAGTACATACAATTTTTCTGTTTTTATGTAGTAGTTAGAAATATTTTTAGGGGGCTGGAGAGACAGTTCAGTAGTTATGAGCACTGGATGCTCTTGCAGAGGATCTGGGTTCAGGTCCCAGCGCCCACATTGCGGCTAACAGCCATCCATAACTCCAGTTCCAAGGGAAATCCAACACCCTCTTCTGCCCTCCACAGGCATTGCATGACATAGGAGTATTTACACACATGCAGGCAATACACTCGTATACATAAAATAAATGTAAATAAAAAGAAATATTTTAGGCACTACAGATCAAACCCTGGGCCTCATTCCTGCATGCAAGGAATGCATTCTTCCACTGAGTCACATTCCCAGACACACTGAAGTATATTTATTACGAAAGAAAATTTTAGCAATTGTTTCAAGATAAAGAAAAAAAAATAGACTGCAGCTGAATTTGCCCCCCAAACCACAGAGGCAACCTCCGCTCCAGGACACTACCGCTCAGTCTTCACAAAGTATAACAATTAATGATGGTGATCTAAATGAAGACTCTGATAGGACAAGGTGTGGCCTAGGAACCTGCAGCTCCACCAGTCTGCTACATGATTAAAGTTGGAATTTTTGGGAGTTGGAAAGATGATTTATCAGTTAAGAGCATATACTGTTGTTATACAGGACCCAGTTTCTATTCCCAGCATCCACCTAGAGCAGCTCACAACTGCCTATAACTCTAGCTCCAGGAAATCCAACACCCTTTTCTGACTTTTGTGGGCAACTGCACTCATGTGCATATAACCCACACAGACTTGCATGCATGCACATAATTAAAAACAAAAATAAAGTCAGGCATAGTGGTGTGAGCCTTTAATCCCAGAGACAGAGGCAGAGGCATGCAAGTCTAAGTGAATTCAAGATCAGCCTGGTCCACATAGCGACTTTCAGGTGGGTTGGGACTAGGGAGACTGTGAAGAAAAAAACAACAACAATAAAATAAAAACTAAAATTAAAAATTAATCATTTTTTAAAAGTTGAACCTAAGTTCAGGATCTTCTGGGGTGGGAAAGATCTAATAAGGTCCATAAGAAGAGGGGCCCTATCTATTTATTTAATAACCTCAGTAACTAAAACAGTGTCTGATTCATAATAAAAAATGCTAAATAAATACTCATGTAAGGAACACATGACTAAACAAGGGAAAGTTTCAAACAGAATATTAAACTCTGTCTCTTTATGGTGATATCCTGTAAGTAGCTACTTATTCTTAAGTCCACCTTAATATTGAACCTTTTACTCATGGCCTGATTTTTTAAATTCCATTTACCTCACTGGACTATAAACTCTTCAGGACTGAGAACTGGGCCTACCTCATTCACCACTAAATTCTTACCAATGAGCACAGTTTCTGTCACATTTACACAAACATCTTCATTGATTGAATAAGCATATTCATATTTATAGAGAATTTCTGTTCTCCTGTTTTTAAATTGCAGATACCTAGATATCTCTGGAGGTATCTAGCCAGTTTAAAAACCCTGAATTTTTGTTTTCCTTAAAACTCCATATGTAGCCAAGGATTTCCTTCAATTCTTGATTCTCCTGCTTCTAACTCCAGCTGTGCTAGAATCACAGGCATGAGCCACCATACCTGGTTTATGCTGTGCTGGAGACTGAACCCAAGGCTCCATATATGCTAAGGAAGGACTCTACCAACTAAGCTATATCCATACCTCCCCAAACTGCCGTTTATCTGAGTGGGCTGCAGTAGCCAAGCTTGCCTTTGTGATGCTGCCCTCCAGGTTACTTCATAAGTTGGCCAAGGATTGGCAATATGACTCAAGGTGCTCTGCATTTTCTTTCCTAGTATTTTTGGCATTGAAACTAGACTCTGGTCTATCTTTGCCATCACTCCAACTGAATAAGTAAAGAGCAGTTGCAAGAGAATGAATGTATTGTGGATCTGAAAGCACTGGGAATTAAGTTTACAAAGTGTGAAGGGGAAGATGCACAGAGCACAAAGGAAGTGTCAGAGACAAGAAGACAGAGTA